TTCAAATATGCCCTAATAATGAAAGAGAAAAAGGATGAAAGAAAATATATGTCAAAATGTGATGTGACAGTATGCCAAATGAGAGAAAATAAAAAATTATGAGCAAAATTGAAAAAATACATTAAATGTTAAGATAAACTCAAATTAGAGCTTATAAAATGGAGTATTTCCCATTTCAAATTTCAACCTTGTAAGAAAACCAAACATTGGGCTCCCATGATGCTCATCAGGCCTATATGTGCTTTGGAGCCTAAAGAAGGTCCCTATTATCCACAACTTATAAATAGTACAATTTTTTTATAAATTTTATTATGAATAATTGAAATCTACAGATGAGCACCAAATGATCCATATTCTCATCTATTGCTTAAATTTTCAATCTTATCTAATAAAAAACATCTCAACTATCTGTTTTTAGTTGTTGCTTGCAACGAAAACGATTTCATCTATTGCTTTAAGTGAAATAAAAATGTTAAAAGTTTACATCTGACGGTGTGATGAAGTTTAGATTAAATGATGCGACGCCATGATAAAAAGGTGAATAGTAATTGGGTCCAATGAAAAAGACTTCCTTCCCTTTAAACAAAGCAAAATGATTCAAACTTTATAGATAAATTGGATCATATCAGAAGAGTTACTTAAAATATGCTTGACAATAAGCTTAAATTTGACTGGATAATTTGTGAAATAAAAATATTGAAAAAGTTTTTCCCCCTTTCTTTATCCAATAGTTCCCTGCCCTAGGAACTTCCAAATGAATTTAAATTGAGGGAGATAGATTTCTATAGAACAAATCAAGAAAAGAACTTCTTTTTTTTAATAAGGTTTGGATATTGATATAATTCATCTAATTCAATTCTTCTTTGTGGGAAATTGCTTTGGTAGATTTTGCTTCATTTATCATGTTTCTCATTTAGTTTAGTTTGAATTTAGGTTTATGAAATTTAAAAAAAAAAGGTCTTATATTGTGGCACAAAAGATTTCATTTCAAAAACAAATCTCTCTACTCCTAAACATAGGAGTTAGATAACTAATTTTATAGAAATTAAGAAAAATAGGAGTTAGATAACTAATTTTATAGAAATTAAGAAAAATAGGAGTTAGATAACTAATTTTATAGAAATTAAGAAAACTAGTCAAAATATCTATTTGTAAAAAAATATGTATTGGTTTTCCTAAAATACACATTGTAATCATTTGCATATTTAGGATCAAAACAAATCACTGTACTTTTTTGTTTTAGGCATGTGTGTAAACTATTGGATGCAATTTTGTTCGAAACACCGTTGGGCACTAAATGTAGGTAGTTCTCCTAATGAGGATCTGAACATTAGTTTTTTTATATTATGAGGGACTAACTTTTTCACTAGACCTAATCTCTATTAATAAACAAGCATATGTAGTTATACCTACACGGCTGTATACAACTTTACCACCGTATGGAATAATATAATTATATAATTGTATGCAAGACATGAAATACTGTAGTGAATGTGATTCACAACATGCGTAGCTCTTTTTCAGGTTTATCTGTTTCCGTGGATTGGGGGTCAGTCTTTGCGGCACAAAATCATCCGTTAATATCGTTAATCTTTTGTCTACCTTCCCACATCATTCCTTTGAATATAATGATATTATTATATGTAACTTTTTAAATATGTTGGAGACCAAATTCCCTGTTCCTTCCATGTGCGTTTGTCCCTTTACCTTTTTTGGTTTGGATTATTTCACACTAATAATTAGATCATAGATTTTATAGTTTTTTTTTTGCTAACAATTTCTCTTTATACGTTAAAATACATATATTCATTATTCGTGATTAATTTTTAGGCTATAAAACTATAAATATGTCAAAAGAAAAAACGTAAAGCCATATTTGTGTCTAATCACATGTTAAAATTTTTTTATATTATTTAAATATTGTACTTTTTGATAATCAGCTCAAAACATATGGTTCGCTTAAATAAAATGACTAGATTAATTAATAATAAAAATAAATTAAAACCCCTGTTTAGAGAGTTGAAAATAAGGGATCAAGCCAAAAGAATTAAATTCTTTTTGAACTAAAACATTACATAATACTATTATTCTAGTTTTAGTTATGTATGATCATTTTTGTGATGTCAGAACAACGTAAGCAAATTTCTAAGTGGACTGATCATCTGTATGTGATCGCTTAAAATAAATTAATTAATTAATAAACTCGAATCACGAGAAACTTATACGTCTCATCTTCGTATGAATCCTCATTTTTCGTAAGCTTAATTTAAGGGGACAAATTAAAGAAATATAATCAACGTTAAATACATCTTGTGACATTTAGATTCACATTATTTTATATTTAGAAACTACCTTAATGATGCAACATTATTAGGCTCGTGAAATTTGAACCCAGAGGCCATGAGGATGCATGTGAAATATTGGGTCCATCACAATTATATTCAATGTCAACTACAGATTATATATGCCAGATTAAATCGTTGGCAAATATATGTGCTAAATTAAATAATCTTTTATGTGTTTATGAAAGGTGAGATATAGTGATGCCCCTAAGTCCTTAAGAAATTGCTCAAATTCTGAAATGGAGAAATAATCACCATAAAATTTGCCAATGTCTTGCACTATACCTACTTTCATAAAAAATTTATAAAGGGATATCAAAATGATTTTTCTTTTGTGGCCAGTGTTCCATCTAAATAATTTTACTGGTATATCATCTTGTATTTGACTTAAGAAAATTGGATATAGTTTTTCTATACAATATTCACATTATTTGGTGTAATTACTAATTATGAATAATGTGATTTGCTGGCAAAAGAAAAAAGAATAATGTGGTTTTTCATAAGTTATATAGATATATATAATTTTTGACATTGAAAAAATGATGTGCTTCTTTTACTTGATAATCTAAGACCATTAATTATTTTGAAATTTCAAAAATTCAAAAGAAAAACCATTGTTTTTGTATTGGAATTATAAATATTTTTTAAGTTTAGGAGTTATTTTTAGCATTTTCAATATTTATCTTTTTTTCGTTTTGTTTAGTAATGATCTTCTATGTTTTTAATACTTATCTTTCAAATATTAACTTAATAGATTAAGATAATAAAAGCCAAAACAGATTGTGGATCACGAAAGCGGAGACTCGAGAAAAATTATGGATCAAAATGAAAAATAAACAAACTTAGAGAATGAAAAGCGGCTAATCAAGCTCAATCGAGACAAAATTAACTGGGATCTAATTAGCAAGCTCAATCGAGATAAAATTAACTGGGATATAATTAGCCATCTTAATTCTAAAATATTATGCAAAAGAAAACAAACAAAATCTTATGCTATCTCCTGTCTTTACTATAAGAGCTAATTGACTAATTTGAGTAAATTAAAAAAAGTTTGTTGAGTTAATTACTTGTAATAAATATGTATTATTTTTCTAAAATACCCTTACTAATCACCTGTGTTAGCTAGAACTATTGATGAAACATTTAATATGTGCAACTACTACAAGGACTAAATTGAAAAAAATGAACAAATATTAGAAATAAAGTGAATCAGGATCTTATATTTAAGACCAAATTAAAAGTCAAACTAGCTTTTATAGTAGTATTAAGTATTGGGGGAAGTATTTGAATAGAGGGATCCAGACAAGAAAGTTAAGTGGGATAACGGTAAATATTAAAATTAGCAGTTTAATAGTTAATTATTCTTCCACTTGCATTTGCCCATACAGAATCATTTTCACGCTTTGATTGTACTCTCTCTATATTTAATCAATTGCTTCTTTAATTTGTTCCGACCATCACGCGCCTTATTAGTTAAATAATCTATTAACATACTTGGCGTTAAATTATTGTTTGCCTTTGTTTGGCTTATATTATATTTCATCCACACATTTTGAAAGATAAATACTAATTCAATTCTCGAATTTAAAATTTCAATCTTAAGAGATGATCCTTTAGTTACTTTTAACAACTTGATGCTAATAATAATTACTTGGCTAAACTATATAAAACTTTCCTTGATCTAGAACCATGTACACTTAATCTCCTTAACTTTCAAAACTTAATGAGAAAACTCTCCAAATTTTCGAGTTTATCTAGGTACCCCTAAATTATAAATTTTATACCCCCTTAAACTTTATTTTCATATGGATATTGATATATATAACCCATCAAACTTTGAATTTTATGCAGACAAATCCTTTAAACTTTAAACCATTTGCAAAATAATAAGACAAAACCAACCGTATGAAAGTTATCTAAATATATGTAAAAGTTCAGGAAAGTTTATTGTAAAATTTCAAAAATTAAAAAAGTTATTTGCGCATATTATATGACATAATATGAATTGATGTAGGGCATTTGTGTAATTTAACCCAATGACTTTACCACTCAGTTAACCCACTACCTTATTCACTTTTTATTTAATTGAATATTTTTTATTTCTTATACATAGAACCTATCAATTTTCTAGTTGAGATTCTCTGGGGTAAATAAAATATTGGGTTAATACAAAGTTAGATCCTTTAAATTTGTCCTTATTTTGATTTTAGTTCTTAGGTTTCAAACCATAGGATTTGGTCTTTTAAGTTTTTTTTCATTTAAAATATTGGTCCTTATAATCTAATAAAAAGTTGAACTATTTTGTTATTTGAAGGACCAAAACTTGTTGTTGAAACTTGGGAGATCAAAATCAAAATGAGAGCAAACTTGGAAAGCAAAGATTATATTAACCCCAAAATATTACATACAAATACACTGGACCATCAGCCAGCCAGTTGTAGTAAAATATTATAATTCTACTATTCTCTCAAGAATTTTGTGCTTAATAATTTACGTTAATATATGCATCCCCTTTTGATTTATTTATTTATTTATATAAATTATATCATTGATCCACAGGCAGTTTGTCTCAACAGATTAATCTATTTTAATATGAGAGATCTCAACAGATTAGTTCATCCTCCTTCTATAAATACCTTAACACTAAACCCTTCATTCCCATCTCCCTCTTGGCCTCTTCTCAAACAAAACAAAATGAGTTCTTCGAGTCTCAATCTCTTAGCCATTTTCCTCATCTTCTCAACTTTGTCCTTCTTCATTTGCCTTGGCCAGAACACTCCTCAAGATTTCCTTGAAGTGCACAATGAGGCTCGAGCGCATGTCGGTGTGGGTCCTCTCTACTGGAACCACACCCTCGCTTCCTACGCTCAGAACTACGCCAATGAGAGGAGCCATGACTGCAACCTTGAGCACTCCGGCGGGCCGTTTGGTGAGAACATCGCTGAGGGTTACGGCGACATGAAGGGCTCCGACGCCGTCAAGTTCTGGCTCACCGAGAGGACCAACTACGACTACCACTCCAACACTTGCGTCAATGATGAGTGCCTTCATTATACTCAGATCATTTGGAGAGATTCTCACCATCTTGGCTGTGCTAGGGCTAAGTGTACCAATGGCTGGATGTTCGTTATTTGCAGTTATGATCCACCGGGCAACGTTGAAGGCCAACGACCATATTGATTCACATATAATATATAGACTGAGAAGTTGAATGAGCATGCTCATTGTTTGTAATGTGGACAACTTCTATATATTTATAGTTTATTACATACCTCATTCTCAGCTTTATTGCTGGAGAATTAATTATATTAAATCATGCCATTAGGTGTGATTCAATGATGAGGTGTACTTATAAATGTTAATTCCTATTAGTTTTTTTAAAAAAAAATCTCAAGTTTCGTTTCGCTTGTCTACTGACAAATATTAATTGATGCACAATGTGGAATATGAAATATAAATTTGCAGTTTGTTCATGAAGTTCTAAGATAACTCATACTATTTATAGCTCTAATTTGAAAGATATTGGTGGTGTTCAGTTAGTTTGATATCTTTAATTCAATGTATAGAGTCAATGTTGCGTAATTAGATTTAATTACAAGTGAAGTTAATTCTAAGAACAGAGGGACACAAGGCTGCAATTACTCATTTTATAAAACTAATAGTTTTATTAATTTTTTTATGCAAAGATTAACACAGATGAATATAACTTTTTTCAAAATAAATTATAATTCCTCATAATATTTTATATTTTAATCATTTCCTAATCTCAAGCTAGTTAGAGCTAGGAACAAATGCGCAGACAAGGGGTTTATAGCGTCCCGCATCTCTGGCCCCTCCGTTTTTTGGGAAGAAATTATCATTATGTTTTATCCAGTTGAATATTTATAATTATAAACGTAATATATATTAAATATTCTATAAAAATGATTAGTTATTTTGTTTTATGAAATACATTATAATCTCTTGAAATATATAGACGTACTTTAGTATATATGTTTATACCTACTAGTCTTTTTTTTTTCCTTTCGATTTGGAGTCTCACCATTGTTCAAAATTTTTTATTTCTAAATGAAAAATACTTATTTATTAGCTACGTTTTATTATCAGATAACCATATATAACTTTCTTTTGCGTTTTGATCTTAGAGTTCCATGTATTTAAACTTAAATTTGTACTTTGTCATGCCACCTCCTGTCCCTAATATGAAAACTATTTGAGAGTTTAATTTAGTTCTGAACATAAGACTTCAAATCATTTTATCTTTCATATTTATTATTTTTCTTCAAACTAATTTACCTAACTTATACATTGACATCTAACTTTTTTTTTTCTTTTGCTTAACCCAGATTGTCTTCAAATTACTTTGGACTTGAGATTAATCTCTATTAGGTCAAAGCATTAAAGTTAAAATTCTCTTAATAAGTGCGCTTCTTGAAATTTGAACTTTTGTTCTTCTTCTATGGTGGTAAGACCACTTACCATCATGTCATATTTGTTATAATTAATTTATTTGATTATCTTAATTTTTTCATCAAAGAAGGTAGTATTTTGATCTGCTTTGATGCCAGACATCCTACATTCCCATGGGACACGGCCCTTAATCACAGGTGTTTTTCTAATTTTCTTTTTTATCTTTAAAATTCAATAATTATTACCCAATGTCCAATAATAGCTTTGTGGTCAAACTTTGCGGCTTAAAATCATCCGTTAATATCGTTAGTTCACAGCTTCAACTATACGACAACCTTTTTTCTCTTTTCAACTCAGTAATGGACATTCAGTCCAAGGAAAAAACTCAGTAATGGACAAAAAACTTTCTTGAGGTTTGTTCATCCGTTTGAATATTGTAACCCTCCTCCCTCTACTTTCTGCCCACTCATTTAATCATAATCGACGCCTAATTCTTTGTTCTTTAACTTCCATGTGCTTCTCCATATTGACCAGTTCGTCCCACTTTAACTTTACACAAAGTTTTGTTTTAGTCTTCTAATTTTAATTTACAAGATGTCCTTCCAATTTTCTAACATTAAAATCCTTAACATTTTTTAGATGTTGATGTGTTACGTTCAATTTTAAAAAATAAAGATGACTAAGACAAAAAAAATTATCATTTTAGAGAGTTGGAAAAAATACTTTATAAAATTAAGGGATCAAATTGATATATTACCTTTGGTTCTAAATACAAGCTAAATTTTATATTTAGAACTGGAATCTAGGGGTACTATTATACAAGTTAGAGGACAAAGATACACTTTCGCCATTAGATTATTTAGTTCTCTTCTGATTTATTTGGATGCGAAGTGAAAATAGAGCCATGACAAAGGGAGAGAAAATTATGCGGAGACAAAAGTGAAGGGGAAAAATATTCTCTCTCCATATATTTAAATGAATAAGAGAAAAATAATTAATTTTATAATTAACCATACCCATATGAAAAAGATACTCCATTTGATTTTTAATATAAAAGTTAGTTACGCTGAAAGGTTGAGTTTGATCCTCAATATAGGATCTTAATCTTTTTGCCTAACCTATTTATCAATTTCACTTGAACTAATTTAACTAACTTATAAATTGACATGTGATATAATTTTATACGTAGGTATTTAGAAAAATCATGTTACATTAATAATAATAATTTATTTATTTGATTTTTTTAATCTCTTTACGTCAGTTAAATTTTTATATTAAATATGTGAGAGAAATTTCATCTTTTATATTAAGTAGTTGAGCTTGTTTGAACAACGTAACCGTTTTTTGGCCAAAAAAAATTACGTAACCGTTTTTTTTTTTTGGGCAAAGGCTTTTGCATTTTCCTTTGGACTGGATTATCAAGTCACCTTGCGTTGCTACTGTTTGGGCAAAGTTTGATTGGGTGATGGATGTAATTTCCCATGCTTCAGTCTTTTCCTAGGAGAATTGCTATGAAGTTTTAAGAAAGAAACATAATTATAGAAAAATCTTAATGACAACAGAACAATTAGTAATGACAAGTTTCAGAGAAGAAAATAATAGCTTGGTTCCTAGTAATACTATTCTAAAGTAATTTTTTTGGTGCAATTTTACTATTAAAAGTGTATTTTTCAAAAGACATAGGCACACAAAACTATTTGAGATCTTATATTTCAATCAGATCAGATCCCTCTACTAGCTAGCTAGGAGCTTATTTCTTGAAATAAAGAAGACTCAGGTTGGTGACCAGAGTAAAAATTATCGTTTTTTGGGTATAGGATGAAAATTAAAGGAAGGAGCATTCAATTTCTGATTCCCTTTCTTTATTTGGTTTGAAAAAGAACAATATCAGAAAGCACGGACAAATTTTTGGCCAAAAAAAAAAGGAAGGGAAAGATAAATGATCAAATCATCATATAGTATCCGTAATATGAAAACATCTTAAGCTATCCATATTATTAATTTTCAATTGTTAATCTTTTGTATTTATTTAATAAAAATAAAATTTTTATGATATATACAAATATAAATTAGATAGATATATTCTTAATTCATTCAATTAATTAATCATATGTGGAACATCAGGGGCTAATTTATTGGTAATTCATATGTTATGAAAATGATTTTATTAACAAATCCACAATAATCAAGGCAGGTCTTTTTAAAAATAAGTAAAAAATATTTTATAAAAAAGTGAAAATAATAATAAAATCTGAATTATTCAAATTAAATTAGAATAATGATTTATCATTGGAGATATCGACACTTGGCACATCTCCAAGGTGAATAGAATACTTACCAAACTTGTCAACATTACTGTTTGTTATCCTTTGTACAGAATCACAATTATTTTGGCACTATTTATTTAATTAACTGGTGAGAATAATATCAATCAAACAATAAATTAATTATATTTGAGAAGTAGGACATTGCAGTTGCATTAATCCAGTTTAAGTGATAATAAAATCTTTGTTGGGATGCTAAGAAAAACGTAAGCAAATTTAATTTGTACGTAAGTGGAATGATCCGTGAACATGAAAAACAAAGTTGGTTAAATAAATAAGCTCCAATTGAGGAACTTGCACGCCTAATCTTCCAATAATAAGCCATCATTTTCTGTATCGAAAGCAAAATTAACGGAAGAAAATTAGGCTTCACATTTTTTAAAATTAATATATATATATATATATATATATAAAACCATAAGGCCTAGCATAGTTAGCACTTAGCTAGGTCTCTTAGGCTTCACATTTTTTCAAATTAATATACATAAATCATAAGACCTAGCATAGTTAGTACTTGGTTGAGTCCCTTAAACATGTAGTTGGGCTTGATTCCTAACGATGTGTATGAAGAGAGTCTATGAAGAGAGTCTGGTGGCTATTACTAAAACCCTCTCAAAAAGTCTATAGTATTAGAGGACTAATCACTGTCACTGGTTGTGAATACTTTGAGTTGAACCAAATATGTGTGTGTATATGTATATGTATATATATATATTAGCTTGCAAAATCTGTGGGCTGGTCACTCGTGAAATTTGATTTCTAGTGTCATAAAGGTGCATGTGAAGGACTGGGCCCCTCAGTTTGTTTTGCCAATATTCGATTATATATTATCCACATGTTCTCAATGAAATGTATGACAATACTTGAAAATGACATTTGAAGCCCCTTAATGATTGATTCACAATATGAGGCTAAGTAATTAAGAACCATATTTTTTTTTAAAACACCAATTAGTTTTCAGAAATCACATTTAGCTTAGACTTCTTTGTTTTTTTTTTTGGCTAGGACCAGGTATTCTTTTATTAGAGACAATCCTATTCAAGACACTGTCAGACATTAAATATGGGTATCTCTCCCAGAAAAATTCAAACATTGGTTCACTAAGTCATGGAGGACTAGCCTTTTGTACTAGATCTAATCCCTGTTGGTAGCTTGCTTAGACTAATTTAAATTGAGTTAAGTTAGACTAGATGAGTGTAAAGCTCTTCCATTGAATTATATATCAACATATAAGTTGATTAAATTAGTTTTAGCGGAAAATGATATAAGATAAAAAAAAATCAATTTATTTGCCAACAAATACAAAATAAGTTAAGATATTATATTTAGGATCAACCTTAACTTTATTTAATAACTAAAGTATATTTTTAGTCATTTAAGTTCAATTTTCAAAATAATTATGATTGTCACAGAAAAAATATCATAAAAAAATCGTTTAATAATAATAATTCTAGGGTTAAAAAACTAAAAATATATATTTTTTAAACCTTATATAAATTCAAATGACCAAAATGCGTATTTAACCTTATTTAATTCTTACATTAACTCATTGTTGATTTCACAAACGACAGACGCACCTCTCCACATTTGACATTATTAACCATTTTTCTGCTGAATTTTGTTTTTTTCGTCGTCATAGAATCTTATGATTTACTTAGAAGCAGAACAAA